GTAGGTCAACAGTTTAATGTCTTATTAATCATGTCTCAAAGTATTAGTTCTGTAAGTGGTTAACAAATTGTTTATTTAACGTTATTTTTCATAGTTCATTCTATTAAACAATGTATGCACAAATAACTTTGAAAGGCAATTACTCAAAATCCTGTTTATCTTGACTCTAAGAGTACTTTACTTTCACTTTCCAATAACTTAGGTTTGAAATGTCCAATTTAAACGAATGAGCCCTCATTTTAAAGATCACATACTCAGGTATTTGAAAATACCAATAACTTGAATTTCAATTTTTGCTACAACTTAGCCATTTTGTCACAACATGCCTCATATGTTAAGGATAGGGAGCAAATATTGTTCGGGCTTTCGCCCATTCCCTATCCGGGCAATGCATGATGTTTTTCTCCTATATGCTTTTTGCCAAATAAATATTATTATGTTATGAAAGGGTGAGGGAGAGGGGAGGTAGGGTTGCTTACTCTTAGCAAAATGCATTCTAACACTCTCACACCTAAGATGTCTGCTTATCTATAAGACAGTTATATTTAATATAAGAAGGCCTACCATTAGCACAAAAACTATACCAAGAGACATGCCTCTACATATAATAAGGCCTACTTTAGACAAAATATGGCATGCTTTCATAAGGTAGTCTGCCTTTGGCTGATAAACAAAAAATAAGGAGGCATATGTCTCTAAAAGAAGGCCTACTTTTGGCAGAAAAAATATTATTAGCTATACTTGAATTTATTGAGTTACATAACAATGGTTTATATTTATTTTTTACAATACATATTTACCATATTTCAAATTCACATGGGTTTCATGATGTGCAATAAGTCTGCCTTTGATTTGTAAGTAATACTAATAATTTACAGATATTTATATTGCGCCTTTTGCAGTTTATAGTGTGGTAAAATTGGTGATGATATTTTATAATTAAACTTTTATATGTGATGCAGCTGAGAGGTATTTCTATATAATTAAATAATTATTTGAAAAATTAATAATGTGTAAAAAAATTTTTAAACGAGTCACTTAAATCATACCTGTAAAGTCATCAAATTCAGATGGCGTGATGAATGTCTGGGGCAAGAAGTCAAAGTGCTTAGTACCCTAGAATAAAACATATAATTACATGTGAGATTTAATATCCGTATGATGTATAACATCACAAGCCACCTGCTTGCCAATACTTTACGTTGCCAAAATATAAGGTAGAACGTACTATTTCAAGAAAAAATCTCAGAGATTCGCATCATTTGTCTTAATTGCTAAGCTTGCTTATGTCAATGTGGAGATATCGTCTCTAAAGTTGCTCTGCTGTCAGTAAAATGCAAAATGTCTAAGAAACCTGTAATCGGATACATACTTTAACTCACTTTCTTAGATGGTGTAACAGGATGATGTAGACAGTTTTTTTTTTATCAGAAAATTTCATTTAATTTCAGCTGACATAAAATCTTCATAATACTTATTTTTCTCAAACATGGGCACAGATTTTGAAAGGTGGGATGGGGGGAGGTCATGAGTCTGTCACCTCATCCCCAACTATGGTGCGGCTGAGGTACAAAAATTTGAGGAAATAATACCTGTAGATGGCCAGAAATGTCACCCTTATATAGTAATATTCATCATCATGTACTCTGGCTGTACAGTGCTTTTTAGTTAAACCCTGGGTCATTTATGCAGATCATTTCAACAATTTTCAGGCATCTTCTTGACTTGTGAAATTACATTGCAGTCGGAAAGTAGGGAACCAACCCCCTTAAAAATATGTTAGGGAGGATATGTCCCCTGTCCTCTATGATCTGCGGCCATGTTCTTAAATCTATTTCGATAGTAATAATTTAAGTCATGTTTCTTGGAGCCGACTGGCCCTCGGAGTACAGAAGAACAACACATAGGACTGATTCTCACTGTTGTACCTATTTTAATTTTACATTTTTTTTAAATATATTTTATTTAATTTTTTTTTTCACTTTTTACTGTGCACATTTAGATACTTTTATTACTTTATTTTATTTTAATATTTCTATTTTATTAAAATCAAATACAGAAATTTCCAATGCAAGATAAACTTCTATGATGGATTCTATGTCTTATTAGCTTATACAACTGTAAAACTAAACCCATTTTTTCATAAACGGAAAAATGGTTTCATTTATCAAGAGTTATAAATGGAAATTGCTTGACAGAAACTACGTAAGTAGTGGATACTCTACACCTGTGAGGAGAGAGACAACTAGAAGAAAAGTTTTTAAAAAAGCAGAGATTTTTTTAGTCATAAGAAAACAAAATTCTGAAATTTCACAGGATTTGACCCCATGACCTTGTGTTTGGAAGACGAGCACCATAACCACTTAAGCCAGACAGTCCACTCTTTCATTTCCTTATATACCTTGAAAGGCTTAAGTTACTGTGATAACATCAATATGTTACTTAAAAATGTAAAGAAAATAAGCAGTCAGCAGCTGATGCTGCATGTTACAATTTGTACTCACAGGTATTTTAATGAGACATTTCTAGTGAAAGGTCAAATAAATAAAAACAAATATTTGAGTAAAATTTAACATTAATTATATAAATAATAAATCATTTTGATAATTATATCTTACCTTAGAATGCTGCATACGCTGAAAGTTCTTATATAAACGATCTTTACGAGTTATTTCGTATGATCTGAAAATAAACATTAAAATATTATTCCCCAATGAGACAACTTAATTTTAATACAGTATTATCTTAATAAGTATAAAATTACTAAGATAGCTAAAAATAATATGTTCTTGAATCATACAAAAATACCAAAGTAGTTCATATATATATATATATATATGGTTAAAAATTATGGCCATTACCAAATTTGACACTAAGACAAGACAGCTCATTTTGTGGAGGGTGGAAGTTCGCAAATGTCACTCAAAATACGTCAAACAATTTGATAAAATTTAGTCATCCGTTATACTAAATTAAACCTGGAAAAGATGCAAAAATTAAATTAATAATATTGAATTACTCACTTTAAAGGATCAATAAGTGTCTAAATTCCAAAGAGACGGTTTGAAAATTTTAAAATGATCAGCCAAATTAAATGCCTTATAGCAGATGCAAGAACGGTAATATTTAAGCAACCATTTACTGACTATTAGCTGAATTAGCTGAAGAATATTCAGCTAATATAATATATTTTAGTTTACAAAGCTATTAACATTCAATACAAATAAAACATGTATTTTCAAATTCCAAAGAAACAGATTAAAAATTTCAGTTTTCAATTGAAGATTTTTTCTACAAAAAAAAAACCTTGAATTTTTCAACTAATTTATAGGTATTAGACTTATATAAGGTACATAAAAGTTCATTTAAATATCTGGTAACTGTGAAAAAATATTTTCCATCTTTAGTTTAAAATACAAAATAAAACATTTTAATTTGACTGTTCAAGGATTTTCTTTTTAGCTGAACAAAGCTGAGACGATCCTTGAAAGGTCAGTTGAATAGAAATTTCAGACGAATATTGATCGTGTTATCAATAATATAATATAAATAATAGATATACAGAATCTAGTGAATAATGAATGATACTACAGTACGGTCTGCTGTTGGACTAATTTGTACGTGTGGAGGCAACGTAGCGCATCTGGCAATTACACTGCGACAGTAATCTTGTCTCATGCAACGTTGGCTCAATTGATCTTTTTATACACCATCTTAGGATCTGTTTTCACAGTCAGCCAGAAGTAATGGCTTCATTTATATGGCTCACATATAGTAAGCTCTGTTATACGCCCATATTTAGTCATGATGTGCCTATATATGGACATGATATGATGTCATCATGACCATAGGAGTGGCGTCCTGATGCAACTTACATCAAAATATCATGACCATATTTAGGCATGTCACATGATTTTGTCAAATAATATTTGATAGTTTGGAAAGGACTTAAGACTGTATTAGAATTATACTTTTAATTTATTTGAAGGACAAGACTTAAGAATGTATTAGAATTATATTTTGAATTTATTTATATACTTTCCTGAAGGACAGGACTTAAGACTGATAGAATTATATTCTAAATTTATTTATATACTTTCCTGAAGGATAGTAACCATTCTAACTAAATATGTAAGGATCAGAAACAGTGTTCTTCCAAAGCCAATTTAGCCATTAATTTTACCAGTAAATAAAACCGGGCAACCAGTAAAAACTGTGTGTTGGCAAAAAAAAAACGGTTATTGATTAGGTCTAGCTAGCCCAGTCCTGCCATTTTTTTAAATGAATGAACATCAACTAAGTCTAGGTCTACTGCAGTCTATGTATCTGTTGCTTGAACCCCACCCAAAAAGGACTCAAGCTGCCATAACGCCTCAAGTTGACTTTATATGGACAAATTTACCAGTTAAATGTTTTCAATTTGGAGAAAATTGCTGATTAGTAAAAAATAATATTAATCAATTATGATGATTAAGATCATCTATTTAGCTCTTTATCACTATAATACTTTTAAAAATTATGATAAATCTTCAGCCCTTTTTAATTTGTGATATTCTTCACCCATCAGACGTGGTGCTGTTTTATTGCAGTATGCTCATTAGCATAAATATTCTGATCTATTATTAAACTAAAATTTTCAATTGTCTGTCACTTCTATTGTGGCTATTATTAGTACTATTTTACATATTAATTTCTACCTTAAACCTACAGTAGGTCTTATTCTCACATATTATTAGGTAGGTTTTGCCGCACAACGTTAACCTTAACTTAACGTTAGTACCCAACATGCAGCACGATAGCTCCGCCCCTTTTGTAAACAAATTGAAATACTCATGCGCAAACCTGTAACTAACGTACGTCGAGCACATAAAATCCTGAAATTAACGTACTCCGCAATGCAAGATAAATAAATTATGACGTCATCCATTAACGTTAAGGTTAACGTCGTGCGGCTAAAACTACCTAATATCAAACTGTAGCCTTTTTTAATAGAGTGATATTTTCACCCATCTGTTGCTGTTGCTGGCTGTTTTATCTTCAGTATGCTGATTTACATATATTGGTTATAAAAACACAAAGAAATTCAAACTATAAAATCATAGGATTGTCATGTGCAAACAGTTACAAACACACACAATTATGAAAAAAAAAACAGCATGTTTTGATTTATGTTAAACTAAATTTATCAATTATCTATCGCTTCTGTTGCGGTTCTTATTTATTTATAAGATTAGTCCTTCCTTAACCTAAGTCTTATATGAAAACATTAATCAAAATTGTTCTCCTATATTGTCATCAAACTAACATTGATCACTCTAACCTAACACTCAGCAACAGGGTCAAAAGAAAGGGAATTATATAGATAAAAACCTTGTAATATTAATGGTTTCTTTTCTTCAACAAATTGAGGTAAGTGAAATATATCACTGCTAAACAGCTCTAATCTATAATTTGATTAATTGCTGAAGGGAAAATACATTTTCCAGCTGTCCTGGATTCAAGAATCCTATTGATGAGAACAAATTAGTTTTCATGCAAACAATATAGATTCTAGTATAAGTGATTTCTGCAATTCATCTCTGACTAAAATGAAACGACTTCGCATAATTCCTAATAAGCTACTTTTATTCGAAGAGAAACAGAATGGAAAGTTGTTAGCAACACGCTGTTTGCGACAGTGGTGCTCATCCCACATGCTGAGGTAATAATAATAATAGTGAGCCCACATCTATTACGAGATTAATACATTTATCAATATATTAGTACTATCCACCCACTCTTTTTATGAAATTTTTGTTTTTTCAAATTTAGCCTAAAGGACAAGGAAATGCCAAACAGCGAACCTAATCGCTTTCCTAAGTGGCAATAATTTACAAACACGCACAAAAGATGCTCTACATAAGTCTCAATTATGAGGCTTAGGGAGTGGTGTTGTTTCTGGTTGTGAGATAAAATCCTGTTACCATGACAGCAATTGACCCAGGACCGTGGGATTGGAAGGCAAGTATCTAAACCACCAAGCTATTCAACTCTAATCCTCCTATTCTTGCATTTCTTAAGAATTCAAAGCCAACTTCTTCAAATCCCATTTAATATATTTTAAAACTATGTAAACTTGAAGATTATTTTTCAAACTGACAATTGTACTCTCCAACCATCCTGCAGCCAATGCCTTGCCCTCGTCATTAACTCACATCCAGTGGTGTATATCTGAGTGACGGAATGGTTGGGGAAGGCGCAAATATTAAGTGGTTGTACATTTATTGATGTATTTGAGAGCTTAAATTTCAGCATGTTCTATTGTTGCTAGTGCCTCTTATATTTATTTACTGTATGTATTAATCATATTTTTTATATGGGCCAATTGAATCAAATCTAAGAAATAAATTTATTATTATTATTTATTTATTTATTTATTTTTTTTTTTAATTTATTTATTTATTTTTAAATTTATAGAAATTTGTTATAAATACTGGCCAGGAAAGTAGCAAGAAAATGGTCATCTCTTACAATCATCAAATAGAACAGTTTGAAATCTTTGAGGAAGATAAATATTTTGCAATAATCATTATCTTGAAATATTCTCACCTCGGAAAGTGGTTGATCTTTTGAAACTCTGTTAAACTTCTCAGCGTGTATGGCTTCACATGCGACCCGATCCACATCAAATTGAAGTCTGAACTATTAGGATGGACCTATAAAAAAAAAGATTTGCAAAATCAATCAATCAATCAATCTAGATATCAATTAATCAATAAACCTCCAGGACAATAGGGCATAAATAGGACAAATCACAACAAACAATAAAGATAAATCAAAATCATCAATAGTTTTGATAACAATGCAAAAATTTAACATGCTTCATATTTATTTTAATATACATGATACTACATCGTTCAACAAGAATGAATCTATCTCACATAGTGACCTTTGGAGCAAATATATATAAATTCTAGATAGTTTAAAATGGCACCCATCCTAGGGATGGTTCCTTTACTTTGATCTGGATTGCTTCCTTCACTTATTTTTTAAACCATTGCTGGTGCCTGTCCAATTTTTTACTTTGCTAAGGGCATGTGCAATGAAACAAGGGTGAAATAGGGCACTCCCTAAAAACTAGGTTGGAACACAGATGATCATGCTCCTCTACCTTGCAAATGTCAAATGATATACAAGGGACATCCAGGTCACCAAATTCAATGATCTGGACAAGGTCAAAAATCTTGGACAGTGACTGCTGATTCAAACTACCAGACAATTCTATTTTTAGATGATAAGGTCTGACTGATTCATTCTGCCAGACGAAAGATGGAACACCATTAAATATAGGTCAAATAATAAAATAAAATTTTAAAAATCGTCTGAAATTCTTTTTTTTATACCTAGGTATATTAGGCCTGATATTACCATCAATATTGATGAGAGGTGGCCACAATATTTCTTTAATTTATGAGCCATGAAATTCTCGCACCTAGGTCTGAAACACTGCGTGAGCCACTCGACAGCCCGTCTACAGTGCGGGCTGGGGTAACTAAGAATGGCCGTCCGAAAATGGTCAGCATTTGGATCGAACCTTTGTGGAGATTCAGGACAAAAAACAAATAACAAAAACAATAATACTAAATTAATTTCCTCAAATAAGATTTTAGTATACCAATAATTTTTTAAAATATATACACAATCCTACCTCATGGAAGCCATGCTTATGTAAAATTTGCCTAATGACTTTACATTCAGTTTTTACCATCTTGTATGCCAGGTGGAACTTCTCTGAAAAGGTAAAAAAAAAAACCGTTAATGATTTATGCTAATTAAAAAAACTACCTTTTTTCAAGTGATAATATAATGATGAAAAATATGGTGACCCTAGTATTGTTTATTATTATGATTAAAACATTATTATTATGACTAAATTAATTTCTTTTTTCTGCCATCCTCTGACAACCTTTGAAAAATATTTTAATAAACAATGTAAAAACAGTGGCCTAAAAAGTGGTGATGATTTATAACCTTATTTAATATATATTTATTTATTTTACCAAGTATTACAATGATTTGTAATACATGAAAAGTAAGATTTTTTTTAAATTTATTTATCTACACTAATATCCTAAATATCACTATAAACAATAAGTTCTACTGTCTTGTTTGCTTAAGTGTCAACATAATTAATTTACGTCAATGACCACCGAATATTCTGTTAGCAGAATGGTTAAAATTAATAATAATAATATGGTTCATAAGAGGAAAAACATTATCATTGATAAATATGCTCATACAACATATAAGTACAACAGTACATACAAGATATAAAGCATATGACAGATCTGCCATTTCAACGCCCAAGTTAACAAAGAGGAAATAATGAGGTATCAACACCACTAAGTGTTTTGGCTAACTACATCAAAAGGTAATTTCCTTAACCTCAGCAATGGACTTTACTGATCAAGACCAGACTACACTACTTGCTGCTAAATATAAGATAACCACTATATATTGTTATTAAGCAACCTTTTTTCCATTGCACAGGAATTAATCATTCACATATGTACATTTATTTTATTTTATCTTATTAATTTTATTATTTAATTTGAATGGCCTTTGAAGATGTATTATCAGATATGAGGTAAAAAAAAATTATAATTTTCAATTTGAATTGCTGAATTTGTATATATAATCAAGTTATTTACTTAAAATTAAAAATTAGTCAATTTTACTACAATTAAATAATACACTGATTTCTTTGCACAAATCCTTAAATTGGCTAGTAATCAACATTTTAGACCTTTTCTTTTATTAATAAGCATAAAAAATTTACTCACATTTTATTAAGAAGTGTTTGATACTAGCCTAGACCCCTACTAAGCCTACTAACTACTAGTTGCCTTAGAAACTAATTACTTAAAAATAATTCTTTGCATGGCCGTGATTTGACATCGTTCAAATGTTATTCATTTTTCCCATTCAGAGCTTTTTAATATAAATTATCTGATTCTCATACAAAAACTTATCCGAAAATTTGGGCCCTGTTTCCGCAGAGAAAAATAACAAAATGGCCACTTTCCGATAATTTATTGGATAATATGTGCTGCGGAAACACAGCCTCTGGAGCACTGGAATTTTAAAGTGAAACTGCTCCTCTAACTACCATGCTATTTACCTCTAGATATTTTCAAATATTTTAAGATACTTCCTTGTTTAACACCTTTGTATGTGTTAGTACACCATAAATTCTTCTACATTTACCAACATTTATTTACAATTGGATTAGTGTTGTCCAGACATTCAGAATTTCAAAGCTTTCTACTTTGTCTTAATAACATTTTTGACATTTGTTTCTGAGCAGCATGACTTGAAGTTTAAAGTAGAACTGCTTCTCTAATAACCTGGCTATATATCTCCAGCTTTTTTCACATATTTTAATAGACTATTCTTTGTTGGACTGCTTTGTTCAATATGTGTTGGTACTTCCCTAAATTCATCATCTTCACTCAGTACTCAAAAGCTTTAACTTAGAGATTAAGGCAATAAGAAAATAATGTTCTTTAATTCAATTGTTTTGTTTGTTTATGTTAATATGCTTCGTATTATTCTTAATTAGAAACATATTAATTAAATTTCCTATTGTTTAAATGATTTACAAAAATAGCACCCGTTCATTTAATAAAAGCCATTCAAATATTGTTATTCTACTTCATCAACAACAAAGATGTCTTTGCTATGATAGGCCTATCGCAGTGGACTATGGTATAAGGATTAAAGCGTGTATACCAGTCGGATCACTAGTGGTGGAAAATCCCCAGCAATGCTATGACTCAGGTCATGACAATCAGGCAGCCACACGTGATGTTATCCATTAAGACTGTATTTAGCCTAGTTTATCCCGGCTTAAAATAATGACCGAACCGAAAACAACAGATCCACTTTTCATGCTTAATTATTTTAATTGATAAAATCAGACAAAATATTGTGATCATCTGCTTACATTTTCAGATGTCTTCATTCATGTAATTAGAAAATTGAACATCTTATTAGAACACTCTAAACAAAGATGTTTAATCAAAACAATAGACAATGTGACTACAGGTCAGTGAAAGAATGATATTTGTTAATAATCACAGACAGGATTCTAATGAAAAACATACAAAATAACAATTTATTTTTAGCCAATTCTAATTGAGTATACAAACAGTCTCTTTATGTATACTGAACTTCAATTTATAGAGGGTCGTTGGCGGGTGGTCAGGGATGAGAGATCACCATCATTACTCAGCATTTTGAGTGACCTTGTTTCATTTATTGCTTTACCAAAAATATTTGTAAAAAAATTTCCAACAGTATATTTTTCTGATCTGTCTTTAAGTACCTTTGTGCCTTGCATTACTGTAGGCGTAAAATGCAAACAAAATATACTTGAAATAATTGCTATTTAGCTATTTGTATTGAGGTAAAAGTACTAATTAAAGTTAGTCCAAGTGAATCCTTTCGGACTTTCGGACCTATTCTTTTTCAACTTTGGTTTTCAACTTTAAACCTATGACTTACTTATACTTATATTCTATTGATGAACTGTACTGGAATCATTTACACAATAATATGTTTTCTCCTCCACAATTGACATTATAAAAGCCTATTTATATAAACTGCCTACATAACAAACAGACCTTTAAAAAATTATTTTAACATTATAGCTTGTAAACTGAATATATTTGTTGTAAAGTACATGCCCAAAATTTGATCTGGTTAAAGGTGGTTCAATTTTAGAATATTTTTTGACAGGGATCTAACATGTCTGACAAGGAGTTCAAAACAAATGGGGCCGCATTGGGCCCCTAGTAATGGTTCTGAAAAGAACGTCCTGGTAGGCTGAAGTGGAAACCACCTCAGTCCCACCCCCTTGCTGCTGAGATTTTAAGGTTTAGTATGGTAATTGTGCCTTAATAGACCACAATACTAATTAGTACAATTACTAATGCTCTGATAGTCGCCGTCTTCATTGGAAGAATGGCCATCACTGATAAAATCACCGCTGGTAAGAGCCACAATTTACCATTATTCTACACAAATGTATTTCAGTTATTTTTGCATTCTTTTTTATATTTTGTTTTATTGAATATAAAAGAATAACTTCCTGTAAAAATGAGCTTTAGTTGTGTCTGACAATAGAGTCTATGTATTTTTCATTCTGAAATTCCACCAACAAGTTTGCTGGCTGAGACTTCTGTTTATGATGTGTAGGTAGAATAATAAAAATATCTATAGTCTTATGTGTTGGCATCGCCACTAGAAACAACTAAGTCAAGGGCAGAAAACTGGAGGTTAAACAATGGTTAACATATTATTATAAACAACCAGTAAAACTTGAAATTTTCCATTTTCCATTATTATTGTTGTAAGTGTTGGTACCTGCATTACATAATGTGAAAAAAATATTTTGAGAGCATTCAAAAGAGGTCAAGTTTGTCCATTGTTTGTAATTGTGTTTTTATAAATTTGCTTTTTAATTGTGTTTTTAGAAATTTGCTTTTTTTTTAAAAGCTTTTTGAAAGCTGAAACATTTCTGCCAAATACAAATCTAATTATTTATATTTTGTGCAACCCACTTACTACCGATAACAGTTTCAAATGTAAACAAGAAATTCTGAGATTACAAACCCTCGCCCTACTGAGCGATATCTATACTGAAAAAATATTAGCCCACTGTCAATCTGCTTGAGTTGGCTTAGCCTAGCCAACAAGGCCTAGCATCATAGGGCTTGCATGGTAAACCCATAAATCGGGCAAGTTTCCGCCAGCCAAAATTTGACACACCTGCGGTCAATCCGCTTGAGTCTCTTCAGCCTAGCCAAACGAGATCAAACACCATGCTTCCAATCAATGTGAGATACATGTAACATTGTGTTTAAATTTGAAGTAAATAGGCCCAGTAGTTTTTGAGTTATTCACCCGGAAGGACACGCACTATTACCCTTCACCTCTCCTTTAAAGAGACGAGGGTAGTAAATATTATTTTTGGCTTGTTAGGATACCTGCCATATTAAAAAAGGAAATTTCCAGAAAACAAATATATTGTATTATGCCATTCCTATGAAATCTACAGATGTATATATTTCTTTCTCACATTTAAATTAATAAAACGCATTTATCAACCCTATATCTGTAATTTAATTATTTTAATTGCCCATCTTGATGTCCTTTGCACGTTTTTTTTTTGTTGTAGCTTTTGAGTAATTGTTTTGATGTGCATTTTTATTCATTGTTTTTTTTTTAAATTGTATAATTCAACTACTGTGTTACAGTGATAGTTGCAATAAAAGTAGTGATTGATTGATTGATTGATTGCATGACACGGAACTGCTTGCCTTGCAACAATCATGCATTTTAATAAGGTTACGAGCGAGGACCTAAGGATAGGCCTCCATTACATTTCTACCTCACGCACTGACATTTAAAAAAATTTATTTCTTTTAAAGCTTTTTGCACAACCATATTGAAATATGACAAAAAAATATCATCTATATTTTTTTTTAGGATCTATTCTAAAACTCCCTGAAACAGAAAATAATGCTAAAATTATTCTATTACATAAGAAAAGTTAAGCCTTTCTAACAAAAGTGGTAAATATTCTATGCATTAAGGTTCTTTGTGGGGTAATAACAGGTCATCATAGCTGCAAAGTGTTATTAAGTTTGCACCATCTTGGCTGCAGTAGAAATGTAAGGTACTCCATAAGTAAAATTATTTATTTTACTTATGGACGCACCTTTTCAAGCCTATTTAATATTTTTTGTTCTTTGTATATACTTTTGGTTTTACTTTCTCTGTTTGCTTTTTTTTCTCCTCTTTGTTCCTAAGACACTTGCAAAGGGACATAGAAACTACATATCATTGGCAGATTCAGGAATTTGAAATAGAGGGGGCCCAGGGAGGGACTTACACAGATAAAGGATCTAAATCACAGTGGGGCTGAGGTAAGAAGATTTTTTACCATGTCACTTCTAGATGGCTGAAAATGGCACTCTCAGACTCTCCTTTCTATTTTAAATTTAAAGGGAGGGGATGGGGAATGCCACTCTTCCCTCCCCCCGCCCTTGAATCTACCACTGCATATTATGCGGCCTATTAACGCCCCATAAAAAAAAATACAAAAATTCTAAGATTTGAACTGAGATTGGAAAGCAAGCTCTTTGCCATATAATTGACAAGTTATGTTGATGGGAATCAATTTAAAAATTTATAAAAAATACTTACCTCCTGTGGCATAGAGTTTCTTGACCTTGGTGAGGAGACACTCGGCTCGGAATAGAACCACCGGCGTCTTCTTTCCAGCGCCACACCAGACAATATTTTCCATGTCCGTCCTTGAAACATTAATCATTTAAAAATTTCATTAACACAAGAAAAATTTGAAAGTTGAAATAATCAAAAGAAAACTTTCAGTAATGAAAGAAATAAATTTATTGGAAATGTTAGCATGCATTAATTATGATAGCAAAATGGTTCAATACAGAGGAAGAACGTTTTACGCATCAAAAGATTTTTAACATTTTTTTATTTACTAAAATAACTAAGAATTATAAATAATAATAAAATGTTTTAAAAAAATAAAATAAATATTTCTAAAATATATTTTACCTCCGACAGTAACTCACAAGTCTCTTTATGAGGCTTAGGAAATAGAAATTTCAAAGTATAAAAAGGTATTTAAATTGTAAGAAAGTAAATAAAATATCCAATTGTAATAAAATAAATAAAATATTAAATTGTAATATAATATGAAATTATAACAAAATGAAATATTACATTACATTGTAATAAAATAAATAAAATATTAAATTGTAAATAAATAAATAAAATAATAAATTGTATATAAAATAAATGAAATAATATACTCACATTAAATCATTCTTTTCCTGTTCACTGTTGTCAGTTTCATCAGATGCGCTTTCATCCTGATTGGTTCCCTTTAAAGTGTCATCATTATCATCATTATCGTCATTGTCATAGTCATCACCACTTGAATAATTTGATGTCGATGACTGGTTATCGCTGTCATCGTCTCGGACGCTGTCTTGATCGGAGGTTGCGTCAGAGTCGTAGTCTGAAGATGATGCGTTTGAAGCCATACTAACTACTCCTATAGTAAGAATAAATAATATATTGAGTAGATGATTATTTCTAGAAGTTCGTTGGCACCACAGAGATTTTGAGAATTTCTCCTCACCATTCTAACAGTATACAGACTATAACATTATTAATATTCCTCTTATTTGTAATAAGTTTTTAAATAATTGTTTTTGGTGCAGACCCCTTTTTCAGTTACAATTTTTCATGGATTGGTTTTAATAAAACCATTTTTTTTAAACAAATAAAGAATTGACAAACTGTACCATTCAATATTGCTTAATGTTGACATATGTAAGCTCTTGTTATGTTACTAAAAATAAATTCCATAATTTATTGTTTAAATAAATAAAATCAGATGAAATTGTTTTATTTATTGTTTTATTGTAAATTAGTCAAGTATTTATGGTGGAAACAAAACTGAACTGTGAAAGAGTTTTGAATTTTAAGGTTGTAAGTCAGGGACTGTTCTGTACACCTCTTGTGCCTCTTGGTAAGAAATTTTAACTACAATTGTGTCTTTACCCAGGATAATATTACCATAATTCCTCGGATATAAGCCTATCAGGTGTAAGCCCACCCCAACCTTGCACCCAAATTTACATACCAGCGTTTCCTCGGGCAAAAGTATGACTTGAATGAGCAGCTTTATAGCGGATTTCTATAATAACTCAAAAATATCAAACATTAGCTTTGAATTAGGCATGCAGTAAAGAAAAATTGCCTTTTGATAGAAAAGGATATTTTCTGGGTATAAGCCCAATTCCTCCCCTCCAAAAATATCCCAATGTTGTGTTCAGGGAGGGAGACATAGGCTTATACCAGAGAAACTACAGTAAATTTACTAGTATGATGTGAATAGATTCTGAGTGATGTTGGAATGGATCTGGTCTGGTACTGAACTAGCTACACATGACTAGGAATAGCCAAGAGACCAGAATAGGTTGGACATAATGTAAAATCTATAATAATTATTTACATCTGATTATAACAATTAACATAATTCACTGAAACGTGCAATGTTTTCTGTTATTTTCAGCTTGTAAAATTATCTGAATGTATATGAATATATTCAATGCTTACTTACAACTGAATTTACAATACCTTAATCACTAATTGAATACATAGCAATACAAGGTTAACTGCATGGATATGATGATAACAAGGTTTATGAATTATATTTTTACGATAATAACCAGGTTTACCACTGCAATAAATAAGTTCATCACATTTATTACAATTTAGTAACCAGGTTTTATTGTAATTATAACCAGGTTGTTACAGACATCACAGTTTTTTTTTTAAATAAAACAAGAGTTATTACAATAACAAAATGTGTTAGTATTAGCAAGGGTACAAATGTTATGTATTGTTGGAAAAGGTAGCAAAAGCATAAAAAAAGTACTTTACATTTTAATACCGAATGAAATCATAAATATCTTTGATATCAATACTAGTTAGCCTACCATACACTAGATTTATTTTTGCCAGATGCAATAATGTTGTAGGTCGTTGTATGCTTTTTCAGACACGATACATACAGTAGAACCTCTACTGGGACACCCCTACTATGGGGACACAGTTTTAGCCACAAAACGAGGGAAATTATATCTTTAACAATATGGCAAACCCCACTCAGGGGATGCCCCTATTAAGGGGACACTTTTTTAGGTCTCAAATGTGTCCCCTTAATAGGGGTTTTACTGTAATTTGCTTGTTCAGATACGTGTGAAACATACTATTAGTGTAATACAAGTCCAATCAACATTTTTTAACAAACAGAAATATGACACTGTTGATGGGGGGAGGGGGAGGTAGCAAAGCAGGACACTGGCTCCACACTTGTTTACAAACTATTAGTCTATGAATGTCTTATTGAAATTTTCTTATGTAGATAGCAATGGAATATCTAAAAATATTGGCATTGAGGAGCTAATGTGAGGAGGGCGCAATAGAAAAAAGTGGAGGGAATATTAGCAAGGCGAATAAAGGTAAAACATAACAAATTTTGAGTGTTTTTCGTTATAGAATAGTGCAATATAAATTTTTGATTTTTATTATATGACATGATTTTAACTAATTAACTAATTTAGAATCTATATTTTTAAGCAAATATTCAGATAAAGGAAACTGGAGTAGATACTTTTTCTGGGGGATTGGAGGGATATTCCCAATACCCCCTTAGATATACCACTACTTATGCAGAGAGACAAAAAAGTATTATAATACTTTCTAGCCTCTTGCAGTGAATGCATATCCTTTAAGCGCCATACTTTAACCATAATTTTTGACCTACATCTTATCTCTACACAACTAATATCTATCAAATTCACAGAGGTCAATCAATGAAATGGTCAAAACACTACTGTATCTAATATTGAGCTGTAATAAGATAATATAATTTTTTTTATTACATAATAAAAAAGAAAGTCATAAGCTATTAACAACTGTTATATTTTAAAAGACACAAAAATGGATGCATGGAAAAGGAAAGGCTTTAAATGACTATTTGAAGAAGCAAAATGCTCTCTACACAAATGGATTTTGTATTATTATCATATGTAATAGGCTCTTAATTACAAGTAACAAATAGTACTTTGGATCAGGAATAACAACCTTAAATGGCATAATATTACTAGGCAGGTAAAATAAACAAAAATGGATTAATAACTTCATATGCATATTTACTTTAAACACAACATCTGGCACAACAAAAAGTATTCAGAAAATATACAAAGCATTTTCAAATTGGTTAGTGCGATTATGCAAAAAATACCGAAATATCTATAATAATTTGTTTAGATAAAACACATGGTAACTATTTGTGGATTTAGCACTGTACTATGCAAATACTGTCTATTTATGGTCAACATTGTATTACTTAAATTTTGTACAGAAATAGCCTGACTATTAAAATAATACAAATATTGGTTTTCTATATTTATTCATTATAAACATCATCACTGCAAAATCATCATCTCTGCCACAGCGGGCAATCACTATAATATATCCACCATCAACGATCTGACCTTCATTACACTATTAGCACAGCCACCATCTAATACCAGTACCATTTACACCATTACACAAATACCAATCAGTAACACAGTCATCGCCAAAAGTACAACAGTGACCTCTCAAGTTCCTTAATGTTTTCACATGCGCAGGTGAAATATTAGTGACGTCAATACAATTCTACTGCGTCGTGCATTCGAAAGCTTCTCAATGTTGTCACTGCCACCGCACAAGACGGCATTGTGGTCACTACCACCACAACTATTCATCACCACCACTTCAACCACCACGATGCAGTAGACTTAGCCTCTCCAACTTTCTGTACCAAATGTCTTCACACTCATCAATTTTAAAATGTATATAAAAAAAATCTTAATTTACTACTACATGTATACATGTAATACAGTTTACAGTAAATGCTTGCAAAAATTGTTAGTTAAAATGCTGTACACAACATTTGCTTATACCAAAAAACCCTCACAGATTTTAAGCATGCAGAGAATATTAATATTATATTATGAACATAGTATATATAACCAATTTACTCGATATAATATGTACAGATTGACATAAAGTACAAACCACTACACCGACGTAACGTTGCAATCTTACGTTTTGCATGATCTTGAACGGCATGTAGTCCATTTACAACCAGATCAAAAAGCTGGGTCTTAAAAAGAAAGTTCTCCATCATCTAAAGTTTTCTACTAATAAGCCACTAAGTCAAATATGCTGTACAGAGTATAGGTTGTATATGCATAATCCCAATACAGTACTCAATAAACAAACATGATGACAATCAATATTGAAGACGATCATTCAATTCAAGCTATGTTCTGAGGTCCAACATGCATTTCTTAGGAGTAACAGATTTCCTTTTCCTTAGAAGGAAAGTTATGAGAATGCACAAGACATGTGAATTACCATGATTTATGTGTATTGTCATTGATTTTGCTCATTGATCCAAATCAGAAGGCAAATTGAACAAGTACAATAAAATAATTAACTGTGAAATGTATAGGATTCTGTCACAATCGGCATTGCAAAAATCAATTCTACTTACTCTGTAACTATACAACTAGAACCAGCATATCTAAACACAAATTTACTGTATACTATCAAAGAGTATAAATAGAACAAGAGAGCCAACAACGCTCATTGGGAGCGTAAAAAAACGATACGCTCTACGCAGCTAGTGTAGGACGCCAACTAACGCTTGTATATGTTTTATTACCCAGTACTGCACCGCGCACTGTAGGTTTGTCTGTTTATCTGTTCTCCACAAGATACTGTGCCTGTCTCTTATACACATCTAGATGTGTATAAGAGACAGGCACATCCCCTGTCCGCACAAGGGCACACATTGGCGCTAACACCAGGCACGTAACAGAGGTCTTGGGTATTTATTTTCCCCTGTTAGTAATTTACCATACCCACCCCACCCCACTCAACATATAGAAAACAATACGACATAGGGCTTATCTTATTTATAATATAGGCCATGAAAACCAAAATCCTTTTTTAGATGTCTCTTTTTCACAATTTGAAGATTGTTATTTTTATATTAGGATCTGTGTTATAATATTAACTGATCCTTAAAGTCATTTTAACACTGAATATTTAAATGCATTGTATGTATTTCATGTTTTACTTATTTATTAAATTGTACTACTTGGCAATGTGTGTATTCAAACAAAAATTTCCAATTTTATATACATTTTGTATTTTTAATGGACAAGTCAATAAAATATATCTTAATCTTGAATCTTAAATAAAATAAATAACTACTATATCTTCATAAAAGTATACCAATATCTTTCTCCAGGCACTTGGTGGGGGGGAGGGGAGGTGGGGGTCATGTTAAACTCCAGAGCAATTAGTAAAAATAAGGGATTCAACAATAAGTTTTAATTTTATTATACTAGATTTTATTAATAGTCATTAGGTAATTAAGAGTGGCACACTGTCTCATAAAATTATAAAGTAGTATATTTACACAGGTATGGATTAAAATCAACAAAGAAAACAGATGAGATTTCTGGGGAACTGTGCAACAGCGCTACAGCATGCACCATGGTCAACCATACACCAGTAGACCTGCTCTTTCCATGCTCTGTCCAAAATATCACATTTTCTGACCAAAATTATGTTGTATTTCATACGTTATGAGGCCACTTCCTACTTCATGCCCAATTTAAATTAAAACCCTTCAATGGTGTGATAAAAAAAATTGCCTTTTAATTGAAAAGGGATTCTCATTCCCGGGTATAAGCCAATTCTCCAAAATCAGCTCAATTTTGTGTTTAAGGGATGCGGACTTACACCAGAGAAACAATGGAATCAAAGGGGGAGGGGGTGCTTCTTAAAACTGAAGTGAAGGGGGATGTTTAATATTCAAAGGAAGTTTGTTCTAGAGCCTTGGTCGGCAGTGTATTGGTTTTGTAAGCATGTTGGATACCAAATGTAAGGTAATACTGATTGCTCTCTATTCTGTCAAAAGGAGGTCAACCAAAAAGGTGGGAAGACAATTTAACGTAACTTTTTTAAAAAAATTGTTTGATGTCAATGGATTAACAACTTTGTGAGCTATAGCGATTTTAATTGCCTTTGATAATCATGTCTCTGTCGATTTACACAGTTTTTCAGTAATTTCAGTTTTGGTTACTTTTTGTTTTATTTTACTGTATGTACCAATTTATTAGAGGGTTAAATAAATAAATAAATGAATGATTGAGTCAAGGCTCCTGAAAATTGTGGACAGGGGTCTAGCCAATCCATTATTTATTCAGCCCACTGGACTCCACCATAGCTTCGCTCTGGACTTGGCTCCACTGGCTTTTTACAAGAAATTTTAAAACCCCTGACAAACAGAGATCTTTCGTTAATGTCCCTTCTGAAAAAAAGAGAAAGTTAAGCAAAAAATAATCCTTAAATAAATTACATTAAAGATAGATTAGGCATATAAAAGAGGTATTATCTATAGGCTGCATTCACACCCGATCCGAACCGAAATATGTAGAACATTTTTGATGCACCTCTAGTATGTGCCTCTATTCTTTACCATACCACACTGACTTGATTTTCTTTTTTTCTGTTTTGTTTAGCAATACAAACCAAATTCAGATTCGGTGTGAATCTACTGGGTGTGGCTAGCCTAGCCCCTAGGTTTAGCCTACATTGAATCCCGTCTACATTATATGTTAAAACTAAGCCTAAGCCAAGCTATGGCTCTCTTCTCTAGGCCTAGGCTAGGCTGTAGGGCCTAGGCCTACTAGGCCTATGCTAGGCCCTAACTAACAAAAAAAAAACCATTTTTAAAATAACTAAATAGGCCTAGCCTATCCTAGGCCTAGTAAATTTAAACTTAATTTAGCTGAAACATTTTGTACACACTGATCAATAAAATATCTTGAAACTTGTATTCGCTATCTGATGCAGGCTGGCTCTAGGCCTAGGTCCTAGCCTAGTTAGTATTATCCTAGCGTCCTTAGCCCAGGCTCTAGGCCTACGTCAACATCAACCAAATGAAGGCAAGCCTAAGATTAAATCTACCTCCAAAAGAGACAGCGAGCGCGCCAGCAGCGAAGTGTGAGACTGGCATGAATGAGACGATTCATGGTGCCTAGAAAAATATATCTGACTTAAATATTCAAAACATTTTTGTCAAAACAGAGTGTAAAACATGTACTTACTAAGCGGTTTGTCATTAGATTTCACTCGTCAACAAACAGACAGAAAATTCTGGAAGAATAACAAATGTTGCAAAACTGTGTTTTTTATGAAAATTATCTTCATTAAATTTTTGTAGTCTGTTGTTAAGACGACCACCTGTTTGCGCATGCTCAAATCAATCATGTATAAAGTTTGTCAGAGGGATTCTGGGACATAAACATTCGAGCAAAGATGGCTGCGCCCATAGGACGCTCAGCTTCAAAATTAGCTGTTAAAGTCGTAGCGCAAACAAAAAAAGAAAGTATTGGCGCTATCATTTTCCTCCATGGATCAGGTAGGTGAGCCTAGACCAAGCAGTATTAGTAATAAACATACTGGCTGCTTCTAGCCTTACTTAGGTTATTATCTAGGCCTAGGCCTATATTCTTTCTGGGCGAGGGAGGCCTAACCTATCCTGGCCTTTTTCTCTGGTCAGTGAGGGAAGAGCCAAGGCCCAAAAAGGGCCGGCCTTGACTAAGTTAAACAGGCTTACTCTTTGAGTTCTTTAAATACTTTTCTTTTACATAGTCTACAGTTTAGATTTATTTTTATATAGGCCTATGCCTATCACGTTATATTGTTTTTCTTTTATTTGTTTTTTTTTATATCTTTTTAAAATAATTCATAATGTTAATTATTTTGTTGCTGTAGTGTTGGAATGATTAAACAATTTTATTATTTTTTGCTTTTTATGTAAATATCTCTTATTCATTGTTTTTAATTTTTATTATCTGATTTATCTGACTACTTATGCATTTTATTGATTTCTTTTATCACATAATTTGGCGAGTCGAATTGCCAAGCAGTTATCAGGGGCGCTGCAACGTACAGCCATAATAATATCGGTACTGGTTCAAACGGCACACTCGCCTATGGTTCTGCTGGTAGAACAAGTCTTCTCAGATAAGGACTATAAAGGCCAACTCAGACAGCGTCGTACGACGCAGCCCGACGCGATTTGTTGCTGTGTCGGGTCTGTGTGGGTTAAACGCAGACGCGATGGTGTGCGTCTGTGGCAGTCGCATCGTAGAATATTAAACATGTTTAATATTTCTCCCGACTGCTCAAGACTGTCCCCGACGATAAATCGGGTCGGGCTGTGTCGGCCAACGCTGTCTGAGTTGGCCTTAAGGGCACAGCAAAAAATTGTTTGATTATCACTCCCCATATTGATGTGGGAATAAAAAAAAATTTATTTTGCTCATTTATTTCAACAACATAAAAAAAACAATGCAATATTGTGACTGGAAATACATTTTCTTTGAAAAACAATAAAATTAAACCAGTTTTTATACAATATTTACATTATTCTTGCCGAATAAAAACAGTCCCTCCCTCATCGATAAAAAAAACCAATATTCTGTTAAAAAATTTATTGATTGCTAATCCCTAATATTGTGGTCTAAAAGCACACTTAGGACCAAGTTATAAGCCATAAAAACTCTTCTCAGAGAAAAATACTCAGTATGTCCCCAAATACTATTCGCGTGGGAATTGAACCCATGACCTCCAGGTATCTATTGTAGCCTGTTGTATTAACCACTAGACCACCGAGCTTGTGCTTGATGACTAGTGATGAATCCGATTCCCTAGTAACAGCGGGTACTGCAGGTGCTATAAATCTTTATATAGCATTGTCTTCAAATCGTTATATTACATTTCTCTGATTTTAACTGTCCATAGGTAAAAAGTACCATTAGAAATAATAACAGACCATAATGACGTTGTATCGATCCCACTTGGGGCCCCTGTTTATTTCATTTTCAGATTTATGTACTTCGGTAATTCACAAACATTGAAATGTTTTTTCTAATATCTTTTCTTATAGATTACTCGTTAACAAAGAAGCACTTTACTGAACTACAATTTGAGCTCATTTTATATGGGGTTTCATGGGCCTAGGCTGGTGGGGAAGGGGGGATGCCATGGTTGCAAATTAGTTCCACTGAGTGGGTTAAAATGCTTCAAATGACCATTAAGTTTACATTGGAATAGAGATTTATTTCTGCATTTTTAATTTTCACACCCCAAGCTGTTTTGCAACCCCCCCCCCCTGCCTTCTAGGCCAAAACCAGCCTACAGTATACCCATTTGGTTTCCTACACGACTCTTACAAAGTTTCCAATCAATGAATATTTGCCATAAAACCCATGCCTCATGTGTGTGTTTGCTTGTGATCCATATGAACATGTACCGGTAGTGATGATGTAACTTAAAGCGGATGATACTTTTCCTGTAATGCTATACAAGTTCAGACCCATTGCCATGACCATAATTTCTATTTAATATGGGAAATAAAACAGTCATTATTTTTGAATATATAATGTGACATATGAATTTTTTTCAATATTATTTTAGGTGATAGTGGAGAGCATTTTCACTCCTGGATTGTGGATACCTTAGGAGAGGAATTATCTTTTCCGCACCTGCGTGCTCTGTATCCAACCGCACCATCCAGGTAACAGCTATCTCCATTGTATTTCCTGTAGTTTATGGTGACACTTAAAAAACCAGACAGAATTCGAATAGTACTAATGCGTAGCACTTTAGCAGCTTACAGTACCTTCACTGGTGGTAGCCACTGTCTTCCATCGCTGGTCTCCTTGTGTTTCAGTTGGAGGACTGAAATGCAAGTTTCAATATTAGAGAATGCAGTACACTCTTCGGAAAAGAGTAGGGGATTGTCTTCCAGTGTGCCCCAATTACCACCAAAAGGACCCTACTGGAAATAAGTCTTCTTCGGACTTTCATGAGTTATCCTTGGTTTTACATACACTAAGGAAATCCAGTTAGCATATTTTCCCCTGTTTTTTGTACTAATGAATCACTGCAGGCCTATACTATACTGTATGTGGCATATGTAGAGTGCATAAAAAGTTTAAGGCTTTTTTTTATCAGTTAAAAACCTCTGGATGATACTTTATACTGTACTTTATTTCTTTTTGCAGTATTTTAAAAAAATTTATATTCCATGGTTTCTCTGGTATTAAGCCCACCCACACAAAACTTGGCCAATTTTTGGGGGTGGGCTTATTATATCTGGGGAATACCCTTTTGAAACTAATGGCAATTTTTAGACACTGTATGCCAAATTTAAAGAGCCCAATATTTGATGTATTTTTTCTGAGAATATTTGTAAAAGTCATACCATGGGCTTTTGCCAGAGGAAAGGCTGCTACATAAAATCGGGCATCAAGTAGGAGGTGGGCTTATAACTGAGGAACTAAAAAATATAATTTTGAAAATTATATATTAAAACAAATGTTGTTGTTTTCAGGCCTTACTCAGCTGCAGGTGGTATGTGTAGCAATGTGTGGTTTAACCGTTACACAATTGAATTTGAATCACCTGAGGACACTTCCTCTATACAACACATGAATGTGGAGATCAGTAAACTCATCCAAGATCAGATAAACAGTGGTATACCTAAAGAAAGGATCATTATAGGTATGTGATATGGACTTGAGATTATAATAGAAGTACAGGTTTCCCTCCAATAGACCTTTCCGGAGTGTCAATCAAACTTAACAACTGACTAATCAGAACAGCGCTAGGAATACGCGCGCGTCTCACAAACACACGTGTTATCCCACAATCGCACGTGTTCGCGTATGTTTTAACACTGTCGCATTGTGGGACCTTAGCAACAATATCCAAGGGGCGGGGCTTAGCGGAAAGGGAGCTTTCAATTGCTTGACGATGGTAGAATGTAGATGATGTCACTAAAAGTTGCATGGATTCTAGGATACAATTTGGCCAAATGCAGAGAACATAGGATGCCCGGTAGGATGGTCACGCATGAGTGATTCTGTTATAGCGTCGCGTTGTCGAACAAATCAAAAGCTCCCTATTGGCTTCTTTTAGGATTGGAGTTTCTATGGTCTTTAGCAGGTTTGGTCTCTAATAAGAAATATAAACAACATTTGTTAATACGGGGACCATAGAATTTTAATTGTTCATTTTCGTGACTCGAAAAAGAATGAGGAAGTTGCATGGTGGCGGGGCCGCTTGAGCTTGGTGCCAGGGGTCGACTGTTCTATTATTTTTCATGGGGTGTTCCCATGTGTGAGAAAGAATGGGCAATTTTTCGGTTTATCCAGGGAAGTATCCACTCATAGACTACCAACATCACCATTGATTTGTGTAATTTTAATTGGTGTTTAATTGCAGGTACTGTGTTAAATTAGAGGGTCCTTTAATTAGAGGGAGACCTGTATTATGATGAAAAACAAATTATTGATTGATAAATAAAAGATTAAATGATAAATGAATAAATTAATAAAAAATAGAATGAATGATAATTGATCAAATGAATGTATGATTAAATAAAGAAAAAAAATAGATTTATTATGAGTCTGAAATGTGTAAAAATGCAAAATACAATCTGTTTTGTCAAACTATAAATTAATGATATTAAATAAAATAAATGAATAATGAATTATAGAATGAATAAATAAATAAATATATGATTGATTAAACAAATGAAGAAAAATATTTATAGTAATAAAGCAGATGAGTCTGAAATATGTTGAATGCAGAATACAACCTGTTTTCATTGAATGATAAATTAATAAGTGAATGATAAATGATGGAATATATAAATGAATGAATAATTAAACAAATGGAGAAAATAATTGATAAGATATATTTATTATGAGTCTGAAATGAGTGAGTGCAAAACAATATCTGTTTTCTTTAAAACAATAAATGTACGAATGAATCAATCAATCAATGATAAATGAATAAGTAAATGATAAATGATCAAATAAATAAATGAATGATAAATGAATTAATCAATGATCAAATGAATAAATGAATGAATAATTGAATGATTATACAATTAAAGAAAAAATTAATAAAATAAATTTAATATGAGTCAAGTGTGTTGAATGCAAAATACAATCTGTATTCGTAGAAACAATGAATGAATTATAAATGAATTAATAAATGAATGAATGATTAAACAAATGAAGAAAAAATTAAACAATAAAATAGGTTATTAAACTGAAGTGTGTGCATGGAAAAAATAAAATCTGTTTTTGTTTAAAAACAATAAATGAATGATAAATGAATGAATGTATGATAAATGATTGAATTAATAAATAATGACTAATTAAACAAATGCAAAATATATTACAATTTTTATTTTTTATTTATTTTATTTCAACAATATTTTATAAGGGTTGTAAAAAAGATTTATTATAATGCCTCTGAAATGTGTAAATGCAAAAAAACATCTGTTTTTGTTGAAACAAACACAGTGGCCAATATCATTCAAAAACATTTACTATGCAATTCATTGTTTGTGTTTGGATTCATTTTTTCTACTGGTATACCATGATAATATTCCATATTTTTTCTAATATTGGTATTTGTTTATTTATAGTTATACCTTTTTTATACTAGATAAATTTAAAATATTTAACTGTAATACATCAGGGGTCCCAATTTGGAAGAAGTCACTTCCGAGAGATTTGGTTAAATGTGCTTTCTTTCATATGTAATATTCTTCTGCTGTTCATGGTGTTTAATGCCATTGGTACCATAATATGTTTATTTTAAATATTTTTCACTGATTAAGACTGATTAGGGACTGGAACCCAGTCTACTCATGGTGATATTCATCTGCATTGACTTCCATGAGAAAATTGATAATAAAGTAATAAAGATATGCAAATATTTTGAACTTACTGGAGATGAGTTATATTCCGGGTAATTCTTGCTTGCTTATGGTAATGTGGGAGGCTGTTTCATTTGTCAGGCCATGGAGCTTGAGACCCCCTGCTACATTTTGCATATTTATATACCTGAATAAATATTTTGGCTTTTTCTGCTACTATATTTGTTCTGATCTTTTTTCTTCTATCCTGTTTTTCACAGGGGCTTTCTACCCTCAAATTTATATGTTGTTTCGTTTTTTTGTATCCTGTTTTCCAATGTATTTACACAGAGGTTTTCTACCTTCTACTTTAACATTTGCTTTGTGTTTTTTTTTGTAGGTGGTTTTTCCATGGGAGGATCTATGGCTCTTCATGTTGCTTATAGTCAGCATACATCTATAGCTGGAGTTTTTACTTTATCTTCATTTCTAAATCAAGAATCCTTAGTATATAAGGTTTGCATACTTTCTAAGTTGTTTAGGGAATGGAAACATAATTCAGCTTGGTTTAAACCATAGGTGGGCAAAGTGTGGCTCATAGACAACGTGGGTCCCAACAGTAATTTTGTTGTGGCCCGTGGCAACCCTATGCATACCATCTTTCACAAGAAGACCTTTTAACACGTTGGCTGCCAGCGACGAGTATACTCGCTCACAGGGTGTTGTTGAGGGCGCCAGGGACGAGTATACTCGTCAAAATCGGGGTAACATTCTGGCGTTTATAACTTCTTTGTTATACATTTTAGAACCGCAGATTGGACGGCTGGTAGTTCAGGGAAGATACACCTAGACGATAACGTACATATGACGTATGTATGTTTGTTGTGTTATGTTGCCGGTAGTACACTTGAGCGGCACAAGTGGGGGCGCCCTTTAAACATATACCAACCCATGCAAAAAGTGGACGAGATAACTCACACTTGGCATAGTCAGTAAAAAATTCTATCATAGTGCCGTCGACGAGTATACTCGCCCCCTAATATTTTCCTGCCAATTCATTAGACACATCATTTTGATGATATATGACTAGATAAAATTTCAAAAAAGTATGTTTGTACATTATTATTTGTACAAACTTATTTTGACATATGGGAAGGAACCTTAAAAAAAGGTCTGGCAGTCAACATGTTAAAATGACCCGTTAGGCCCATTTTTATGCCCACTCTTTGAACAACATTGAATTTGGGAAGTGCAAATCATTGCCACTGATCATTGTATTAGGCAATTGATACTGGCACTGTATAGATACCTGATGATTCGTTGATTGATTGACTGATTTATTGCATCATGAAACACACGGACATATCAATTTGTTTGAACGTTGTTTTGACCACATAACAAAATATTTTTAATCTCCTGCATGTAAGAAAGACAAAAATGAACAGATTGACCGTGCTGCACAGCACAGTGTTTGGGCAATTTCATTATCCAAAAAGGGTATATAAAAATGAATTTTTAAAATGATCAATCACTATCGAAACACTATTAATACATTCGCCTACAATTTAGAACCAGTTAATCATGTAAATGACAAAACATCTTTGTTCCTGGAAAAACTACTAATATTTGACCTACAGTAATTACAAACCTCTTGCTTGATTTCAGTTATAGGTCAGAAATAGAGATTTTCTTTACAAATCAAATGTAATCTCACTAGATATGCAGCTGCTATAACATGTTGGATAAAAGGCTATTCTTTCAATACAAGATTTCAATACTCAGGGATGACACATGATCAAAGATATCTGATAAGCGAAACATACTCATTCCCAAAGCTTTGTGAAGATTATCAGTCAGTGGAGTGTTGTCTGTGGCCCTATAGGGCATTTGCTGGGGACAATCACCCACAGCCCTAGTTGGTTTAAAATATCAAAATGACAATTATGTTTTATTTTATTTCATTTACTTTGTCTTCAGAAAGAAAATTGTAACTCTAATTCGTTACTAATATTACATGTAATGAATTTCAGTTTCTGGGAAAATAAAAGAAAATTATTAAAATTTAAAGGACGGAAAATACATACAAATAGACAGAAAATGAGCAATCATTAACAACCTGACGGGATAACCAAAAAAGTGAAAGAAAACACTGTCGCGTGGTTCTCCAAGGTCACAAAACGCACCTGTTTCTGCTGACGCCCTTAAAAGAATCAACAAGAGAATCAACAAAATACATTAATCAATTATATCTCACAAAATACCATTTAATAATACTTCACCATCGTTACAAACAAGCCAGCACAGACAAACAATATTTGAAGTCACCACCACTTTCGGCGGATTCTCTCCAAAGTACAACAGGTTGGTTCCCACAACCCTGGTCGGTCTAACAGAATATCAAAACAGGCCTACAGTAAGGGTAGATTCACACCGAATCCGAATTCGGTTTGTAGAACGTTTTCGATGCACGTCTTAGTGTGCACCTCTATTCTGATTCACTTTTCTTTTTTTCGTTACGTTAGCCATACAAATCGAATTCGGATTCTGTGTCAATGCAGCCACCACACACAGTGGGTTTAAGTTTGATACAAGCAAATACAGCATCATAAAATATGATGCCCTGTTTCCATAACAGTGTAGGTTGAGAAAGTTAGCAAACCTATGGAATTTCCTAACAAACAATACATGTAAACACTTAAAAATATACATACAGTATAATGTAGTGTATATGAAGTAAAATAAAATATCCTAATTCAGAAATATGTACAATGAAAGATTTAAAAACAATACTAAAATTAGGAACAAATTATTTCAAAACATTGCTTTTCTTAAACCTTAAATTTAGACATGGTGACCATAAAAAGACTTACAGTAAGACTTTATTATTAAAAATAATTCTTTACAAATATCTGTAGATAATAATTTCCATTGTCTGGAAAATAAAAAATCAGTGAAAATGTAAAGAAAAAAATACATACAAATAGACAGAAAATGAGTGATCATTAACAACCCAATCGGATAACCAAAAAGCAAAACAAATCACTGTTGCATTGTTTTCTATGGTTGGAAACAATACATCTAAACACTTAAAAATATATGTATAATATAGTGTATATAAATTAAAATAGTAAAATAATCCTAATTCAGAAATATGTACAAAGATAGATTTAAAGACAGTAAAATTGAGAACAAACTATTTTAAAAATTGCTTTTCTTAAAACCTTAAATTAAAAATGATGACCATAAAAAGGCTTAAAATGTTAAAACTAATTTGTTACAATTATCATTGTCTTGGGAAATCAAAATCAGTAAAAATGTACATCATTGGCGTAATGCCTATGTGCTCTTGTGCAGTGGTCTGCATGGGCCCCAACCACTAGGGGCCCCTTCGGGGACGTTACCCATTGGGTCCTCGATCCAGTGATTTGTTGGATGGATCGGATTTATTCGGTGTAAACACCAAGGAAAGCCCATAAAAGTTTGAGTGGGGTCCTTCTGGTGGTGATTGGGCAGTACACCGAGAGACAATCCCCCACTTTCTCCGAAGAGGGTACTGCGTTCTTTAATTTGCACATGGGCCATACATGCATATGGGACCAATGGCTTAAACATCTCATCCGAAAGACGGTGTGCTATTTGTAACTTGGTTTTCAGCCCTCCAGCTGAAACACAAGAAGAGGCAGCAATGGGAATTGAACCTAAATTTCTCCACGGTTCAGTGCACACACAGTGGCTATGACCAGATTAGCCAAATGACACCAACCAAATGAACAGAATAATGTGTGTCTGACATCAACTGTAGGACATATATTATATCCAGAGTGGATTAGATGTTGGGGGAGGGCAGCAGGGCCTGGCCTGGCCACCTCTAAATTTGTAAACATTTTGTTTAAAAATTCAGATAAAAAAAAATTATATTCAAAGTTTGTGAGTGCCATTTCCCTATCTAGATGTGTCAATAATCATAAATTTTAGACCCCCCACTATGAAAGGTCCTCCCTGAACCCCTCCAGTCTCAGAAATGCACAAGGTCCTCAGCCTTCTTCAACAACTATCATTAACAATTCTATAGTTTTATTATTTAAACGCCCTCGTTTTTCTAGTTCAAAAATTAAATGCCACAAATTTGAATGTAGTGGGAGAGGAATACCATACAGCCGGTAAATATCAACTGCAATATTTCGGTTCATATTAAAACAAATATTGATCAAATTTTGTCGACGTCTGTCAAACTTTTTAATCCTGATAGCATCATATGCTGGGAGAGTTGGTATTACTTCCCGAATCTTTTGTATTGTGTCTACCATTCTACATAACTTGCAAGCTTCAACAACAATTTTAATATCTGTTGGTCCAAGCTTTTCAGACTGTCTTAGTTCTTTTAGTAGAAATCTTGACAAATTTTTAATAGGTATATCATATATATTGGGAAATAAATCATAAAATAAAACTTTCAGCATCGCAGGATTATTTAATGCATCCAATGCAATTTTTTAGCGGCTGATCAACTTGCTGTAGACTTTCTCAGAGTGTCCTGGTTTAAGTTTGTCGTTTCGTAAAAATTATATAATGAAGCAGTATAAAACCTGCTATGAAGATCAGAACAATATGTAAATTTAAGAATACTCGGAATAATACTTGAATCCACATCAGGATTGCGGATAAACCAGCTAATATGTTTGTGTTCTTCTGACACCAATTCAGAAGTTTTCTCCAAATTGATCCATCTTGTGTTTGCTTTTTACAATTTAGATATACACATAGAAGTAATATTGTAAGTGATGTGATGATCAGAACAATCCATGTGCATTTGAGAGACCTTCCTTCAGGTGAATTGCTATTTCCGAGTAAATCTGAATGTGGTGTTTTGTCATGATGTCGGCATACCATGAACAGAAGCCCAACATATAATGAAAACTTCATTGAACCAGCTATTACTGCTTTGTTTGTCTCACACCAATCGCTAAGTTTTCCACAAAATGTTGACCTCCCATCTGTAATGCATGGTATCATGGGTTCTACAGGTACTCTCACAATATATTGTCTATGCCTATTTCTATGCTGCGCCATTTTATCCCTGATCGGCTGAAAGGAACAGACTAAACCAGAATACTGTGTAAAGATGTTACTACTGCTGTGTTATTACGCTGCTATAGAAACATGAAAAAATATTGATTTTGTTCTACATTTTCTGTTTTCACAACCCAGCAGAATAAAACCAGCCTTTGTCTGCCAGCCACCAGACAAAAGGGGCCTCAATAAATGTAAATTCTATTCTCTAAATATCATATCATCATTTATACCTTCATATAGCATGTATTTTGCATTTTCATTTTTACAGTACATAAAACAAGAAATGTAACAGAACAGAAGTAAATCAATGAGGCAGTATCACCTAAATATTATAACGAAAATAACAGCCTAAAGGTTCTCCACAAAGAAATACTTACATAAAATTATGAGAAAAACATGTAAGATAAAATGTTAAAATCAAATAATAATAATTTTGAAATCATCAATATTTGCAGTCGGCAGGTTCGCTGAACAAGGTGTAAAAAAAGTCTCACCTAAAATAGCACCATTTGTATCACCTGTCGTGGGAGGGAAAAAATGTTCGCATGCTGAGCAACATACGATGCTCGGACCACTGGAATGAATAAAAAAAGAGTAATGAAAAAATTGTCATCTATATTGTCATCTACCTTCTGTACCCTTCATATTTCTGTATTGAACCTAAAATCATAATCAATAAATCTTAATTATTTGTATTGCTTAATTGAAAATTGACATTGAAATCAAATTAGATTCAATTTACATTCATGAACAATTGTTTTGTTTTTTAATTGGTTATAGTACATGCTATCAAGATCAGAACAATATATAAAGAGCTGTACTTTTTAGACAACCTTTTTTCACATGTGTTTCTTCAGAATTTAGGCATATTACCAATAATAACTCAGCCCATATTTCATTTGCGGATAAAACAGTTAATACGTTTTGTTTTTTAATTGGTTATAGTAATAAACCTAATTTTATTAATATAATAATGGATTTGAAAATACTAGTTGATGTAGCATTCAATATAGAAACACTTGCATTTTTTTTTCAGGCTTTACAGGCACACAGTGGACCCATACCACCATTATTTGCTTGCCACGGAAATGCTGATGAATTGGTGTTGTACGATTGGGGGAAGTCAACTGTTGAAACTCTACAGGAGCACAATGTTCAAACAGAGTTTCACACTATTCCTGGGCTTAGCCATGAGCTACATAAAGGTGTATTACAACAGCTGAAAGCTTGGATATTGAAGGTTTTACCAGAGGCTTGAGTTTAGATGTTTTGCATATTTGCTATGTTTAATTCATGTTTTTCAGAGTCAAACTCTGAATAAGCCCCAAGCAGGAGAAAGAAGATGGCAACCAGCATTGACAAAAATGGCAAAACATCTTGTAATGAAAATTTAAAAATAACTGATGAAAATTTTACTCAACAAAGAGTATCAGTTTAATGAACTTTGAAGTAGTGATGCTGATGATGATGAGGAGGATGAAGGTAATGGTGATGATGAAGTAATAGAGAAGATGATGATGTATGTAAAGAGGATGTGACAAAGATGATGTAAGGAAGATGATGGTGATGAGAAGAAAGGATGAGGATGATGATCATGAAAAAGCTGATGATGATGATGACGACGATGATTACGCTGATGACAGTGAGATGGCAGCCCTGGGTGTATGGATATGAGATATACGGTGGTAGTTATTATAGGTGGACTAAACATTACATTATTCTTGAAATATCTTTGTGAAAAAAATGTGTGTGTACAGTATTATTTTTATTATTTCAGTTTGCATCAGATAGGGCAAAACATTACTCCAATTATTATTATAATTATTATTATTATTTAATGGTATTATGTTGGGTACCTGGTAGGAGGTGAGGTTGCACGAGTATGATCCAATGGCCAAGGAAAGAAAACACCTTTAGCGGTTTTCTGCATATGTGCACAATATAAATCCTATATGAATATATATTATAATGACCATCATCTTCATTGTTATTGTTATTATATTGCTTTGTGTTTATGAATCTTTTACCTTTAATAGCAACTTTGACACTGAAATCTTCAAATTTTATATGTTTCAAGATATGTATTTCAGCCATTTTTATCAAATATCAAAACATTTCATATGAATATATGCATCAAGGAAATTAATTTATTGTGAATTGATTTTTTTGTTTTGTTCTTTAATTTGTTTAGTTAGATGCCCACAAAACTGAGAACACCTGTGAGTTATGTACTAGCCGGTCTTTTGCACCTAAAATTGCTGGTAAATGGAAGCAGTGATGTGGGTTATGGTCGTTTTTCTGGTAGCCTTTAGTTTAAAAGGATAAGCTTTTTCATGGTTTTCACAAGCGCCTTGAGCACTTTAGTGGAGATGTGCGCTTAATAAATCTTATTATTATTATTATTATTATTATGTACTGTATTGTAAGTTTGAGAAAATAAATAAAAACTGCATGATGGTAATTGGTTAGTTGAAAGTGTCTTTTTCTACTCTCTTTTTCAATATCATCATTTAACCAAAATAATTAAATGCACATTTGAAAAAGCCTTCATTCCAGTTTTTTAAAATATAGTGGGAAAGGTCATTGTGATGTGTGGGGTGGGGTGGGGGGCCTTTCAATTGCAGCGACAACATGACCCTAAGACAGATTGTCTTTTTAAATTTTGTTGGTGATTACAGTCTCTTTGCGACTAGGCTAAATTTATTCTGAATATATTTGTTTTGATTCCTCGAAAATTAAAGTAAATTTTAGTAAATTCAATACAAACGTCAAAGCCCACCACACTGCGGTTCCACTGAACAACATTTTTAAATAAATAACTTTGAATTAGCAACTTATTTGGCCTCCATTTCTAAAAACCTGTAATTATATTTGGTATTTTTGTCCCTGGACTCGGGAAACGACTCTGACACCATCACAATTTGAATGTGTCAATTTAGTTCTATCCACACTAAAATTGTATGGAATCAACTTTAGTAAATACTTTTTCTTTTCATCAAGAGTCACTGCGCCTTGGAAAAGTTTGTTAAACGGTGCATTATAAGTCATGGGCGGATCCAGTAGGGGCACGGGCGTACACCCCCCCTCCCCCCACCGTTTTGCCACCAAATTTTTAAAAATTCAATGCAAGTAAATGTCATGTGCTACTCACTCTGAAACTGTTGTGCCTCCCCCCCCCCCCCCTTTGAAAAAATTTTGAATCTTCCCCTGTAAGTGCTGTATATTATTATTTATTATTATATTATGTGACAATGTAATATGCCCATATTTGGGTGTAATAATAAGCCACCATGCCCATATATGGGCACATCACACAAATTTGTCACATAAAATTTGATAGTGTGGACAGAGTTTTAAATTGCTTTAGTGTGAAAGCAGCAATTTACTGTTTAATAGAACACTTCATTATAGGTTTTTTGTCAGTCGGATTTCTCCTTGTTGTTGTCGTCACTGAAACACAGTTATCAATAATAGATATAATGTGCTAGGATTCCAATGCATAGATAATTGATAATTAGATATACAAATTGATAGTATGAAACAATTTATGGGTTTCGGAGACTTATTTAATCGGTGCCACTCTTGTTTTATACTTTGCTAGTTTATCTTCAGGAATTCATTCTTCAATTCTTCAATTGAGATTCATTCCTGAAGATGATGAACTAATAATAAAGTTCAAAATATTGAATCACAATGTCTTGTATCACTTTTTTTCGGAGCTTGTTTTCACACTATCTCATTTTTAAAATTTTAGTTAAAAATTATTTACTCGGGATAGCCAACATTTCAAGGCTGATGTTAAAACCTGTTTTTGACAGTGGTCCTGCACAAGAAGTAAAATGAAAATAACTGTCCACATATATCAATCGGTGAATCTCATGATATACCGTACAAATTGTATGTGCAGATATTTTTTATAAACTTATAGACAAAATAATAAGCTTTCCATTTTATTTATTGTATATTCTGGCCACAAACTTTAATTGGTTTGATCGCTGATTCACTTCAATGCTTTCATCATTTTTTTTTTTTCATCATTTATTTAAGTCAGTTTCTTCCCTCTTCCAAGGGGTTACTGACTGTCACTCGTTCCATGCAGCTACACCATCTTTCCACTTCTTCCTGTCTTGTGCATCATACTCCTCCAAACCAATTTTTGCACTTTCTTTCTTCACCATATCTTTCCACGTCACCTTTGGCCGCCCCCTTACTCTTCTACCTTCAACTTCTAGATGCCAGGCTCTCTTTACTGGATCACCTTCGTCTTTTCTTAGCACATGACCCATCCATGTCAAGCTACACCTCATGACAACCTCCACAATTGTTTCACTTAGACCTAGACGTTCCATAAGCTCCTTTGAGGTTACTTACTTGAGGTTACTTATTCTAAGAGATCAGATTAAATTTTCCCACAAAGCCACAGTTACATCAAGTGTCTGCATACCAAGCGGCAAGCAGATGACCTTCAAATCAGAGTGTATATATATATATATATATATATATACTATATACTATATATATATATTTACTATATATATATATACTATGCTGATGTTTATGTTTTTTTCATATCATTTCTATATATATTTCTATTTATTTTATTATGATTATGATTTTTTAGGCTTTTCTTTTTTATATATTATTTTGCCATGTTTTGCTCTGACTTATTCTGTCCCACCCACCAGTTCTTTTTTAGGGAGAGAGG